GTCGAGGTTACTCAATCAGTGGAGCGGTGATGGTGATGTTAAAACGTAAGAAACAAAAGATCATGCTGTTCATCAGGCGCGTGTTAGGCTGCAATGAACCCTGACAAACCCATCAGTTTGCGTACCACGCTTAATCTGAACAGCCCCATGCATCGTGTTAGCTTGGCATAAGGTCTGCCCTTGAATAGTGAGAAACGAAATAATCAAACGTCTCATTTTCAAAAGTAGGCAGCCTTCGCCATTGTCAATGTGAAGGTGCAGGTACCCAAAGTGCTTCGATCCCGCTGTTCTACTCAACTACAGATCTGCCTTCCGTCATAAAAATTTCAAGGAAGCATCTTAAGCTTTATCATTAGGTAGTAACGATGCTAATTAGAGTGCCATGTTTATAATGATAACAGCACTGAAATGTGATTTGCTGCAGACGTCCTTTCAGCAGCATAATGTGAAAGGCACAAAGCGAAAATACAAAGAGATACTGATTCGCCTTCATTAACCAATATATCTCAATGCCAGATTAAGGTGTAATCATTATCATCACCAGAGGATGAGTCTTAAAAGAGAATCGCCTGAATCAGTGGCATCTGCCCATCATAAATCTCAGCAACATATTTTTATATGGGTCAGAAAAATACACATTCTTCGTTCTCATTTAGTTAACCTCAACTAGAGATCTTCCAAAAATTAATTAAACGGTTTATTAGCCTATCCATCAAAACAGCGATTGTCAGAAATGACTTTCTTTCTTTACTGCAAACATGGTATATTTTGTTGTTATCATTAACTCGGCTAACAAAACCTAAAGGAACGAGTTGCCGAAACAGTAACACGATCCGTTAAAATTGTGTCTCCGATTTGTATTAGGAGTAGTTCCTTGTTGCATGACCGAGATATATTCCTCCTTCCAAGCAGATCCATCTCAAAGAAGTTTTTCTAAATTTTGCGTTTCTTCCAACGCATCGGCGGCCAGTGAACAGGTCCAATGACAAAACATGTGTAAACAAATTTTCATGCTCTTTTGGGACGGTTAATCAACGCATTTCAAACCAGAACCCGGTTTTTGGATTCTGGCATTAATCCATAACTAATGGCCGTCAACTACCGTCCAATCGAACCTTCAGGATACTTTGCAGACGGTATTGTTAAAAGCGTTAGATTGTAGCTTCATGATGTTCACCTTATAAAGCAGCGAAAATGAAAATTTACTTATGCCTCTCTCGTTTTAAAAACTATTTTCACCATTGTTACTGGCTTTCAAACTCTGCAAGTTAAGCTTAAAATTAAAATTAAAATTAAAATTGAACTTACGAACTTCTAACGTCTTCGCTCAAAATCAGCGACGTGTAGCACAAATTGTATGCGATCATGATCGACGGATACAGCGAAGCAAAATCTAACGTTGCAATGGGACGGTTGTAGAAGCTGCAAACATGTACATGAAGCAAAGACAAAGAATGATTGTTCGTACCCTTTAAGGGGTTCAATAACAGTTGCACCGGTATAGTCTTCACCGACTTCAGTCCTCATCGCGGGTAAAAAACAATTATGCTGACGGGCCTAGAGAAGAATCTTCATACATTTCATCTAAGCAGCAGAAAGCTTATACATGTAACGGATCGCATATCAAGAAGAAATGTGAAATGTTGATATTCAAGTGAATTAATGGCTCCTGACCGATATATTAGCTCTGAATGAAAGGCATATGGTGATTGTTAAAGCAATGCATACTACAAACATATAACCATATGCAGTTTCATCATCTTAACTTTACATATATA